TATTATTATTATTATTATTATTATTATTATTATTATTATTATTATTATTATTATTATTAATATCGCCGTAAAGCTGGAAAGCTACCTACAAAGTAGAACCCCACTCATCTTTGAGAAAGTGTCCTATCCACTTTCTGCAAGCAGATGCCCTCTAGATAAAGCAGGATGATGGTTCTATCTTGGTCATCTCTAACCATGGCTTGCACTGTGGCCCTTTTCCTATCATATCCCAATCCAGAAAGACAATTAAATCACCCTTAGCTGTTCCAGCCCGCAAAGCAGACGGTCCAGTGGCAGAGTGGCTCGACTCTCCCATGTTTTGAGATGGACGGGGTCACCGCAGCGTTTATTGGCCATTTCGTGCTGATCACGGTCACATCCACTCCCTCTCTGGTCCTCCTCTGCTGTCATCCTGATCTTGTTCCCGCTCAAAAACTGGATCACGCAGCTCCCTGCCGGTAACAGATCAGAAGCATCCGACAGCACAAGCCTGCGCTGCTCTTAGAACTTGCTGCTCCTTCCCAAATCCAATAAAAAGCTTTAAAAAGACAACAGAGTCACCGGTGTACTGCCTCCTCAACAGAGCTTGGAATTTGGCTTTTGTTGCCTGCTATGGAAAAGGGGAAGGGATAGAAATCCTGATTAATACAGCGCTGCTCCTGTGGTGACTTAGATGGAGGGTTTGTTGTTGTTATTTGTTTTAATATGACTTTGGTGGGCTAAAGATGAAAAGGAAAGGAGACCCTGCGGAATTTACTCCACTACTCGCTGCTGACTCTAGGGGGCGCTGCTCATGTCCACTTCAAGGCCATTGAGCCAGCATTTGTGGCCAGCACGACGTCACGGAGCGCCGTTACCTTCCCACCGAAGCGGTACCTATTTATCTACTCGCAGGTGCGTGCTTTCCAACTGCTAGTTTGGCAGGAGCTGGAGCAAGGAACAGGAGCTCACCCCCCCCTTCACGTGGCGAAGGGGTCTTGAACTTTGGTAGGGGAGAAACCTTTAAATTATTGCAGAAGTGGACATGGGAAAGAAGCATGCAGGAAAAGCCCAGAGAAGACCATTTTGGAGCCACGCCAGCTGGAATGGACACAGGAGAAGAAGCAACTGTTTTGAAGGACTTAGTCAGATCTTCCCCTATAATTGGGCTCATGTTCTTGTGGAACTGGCTAACATTTGCGGTTTGAGAGATCGGCTTCTTTGCGTAAAGTCATGAAACCTAGCAGGGTTCCAATAATTTGAGGGGCTGCCCCAAAGAAGAGGGAGTCAAGCTATTCTCCAAAGCACCTGAAGGCAGGACAAGAAGCAATGGAGGGAAACTAACCAAGGAGAGAAGCAACCTAGAACTAAAGAGAAACTTCCTGACAGTGAGAACAATTAACCAGTGGAACAACCTGCCTCCAGAAGTTGTGGGTGTTCCAACACTGGAAATTTGGAAGAAGAGACTGGACAGCCATTTGTCCGAAAGGGTATTTGGTCTCGTGCTTGAATAGGGGGTTGGACTAGAAGACCTCCAAGGTCCCTTCCAACTCTGCTATTTTGTTACAGCCATTGATCCTGAAGATTTGCAGTGCTACCCCATTCAAACTGTAAGGACAGGAGCAGACAGACTCCCGTCCCAAGGATATTTAGAGTTTCCCAGGATGGATAAAAGTGTCTGGGCCTAACAGATTTTTTTTTTCAGAATTCTTTACTTCATCGGTGATCAATGAATTATTATTATTATTATTATTATTATTATTATTATTATTTTATTTATTAAATTTATATCCCGCCCTTCTCCTTCCCTTTGGGATCCACTTGGAGCATCAGAAACCTTAGTCACGGCATGCTCCTGAAGAAACGAAGGTGCAGCAGAAGATAGACAAAGACACAAACACACACACACACAGGAAGTTGACCACCTGCACCCATAGGAAGTTCTCTAACATTCTAGTACTAGTAGTAGTAGTAGTAGTAGTAGTAGTAGTAGTAGTAGTAGTAGTAGTAATAATAATAATAATAATAATAATAATAATAATAATAATAATAATAATAATAATAATAATAATAATAATAATAATAATAAAGTTGGAAGGGACCTTGGAGGTCATCTAGTCTAACCCCCTGCTCAGGCAGGAACCCTACACCATTTCAGACAAATGGCTGTCCAGTCTCTTCTTAAAAACCTCCAGTGTTGGAGCATTCACAGCTTCTGGAGGCAGGTTGTTCCACTGGTTAATTGTTCTCACTGTCAGGAAGTTTCTCCTTAGTTCTAGGTTGCTTCTCTCCTTGATCTGTTTCCATCCGGTTGCTTCTTGTCCTGCCTTCAGGCGCTTTGGAGAATAGCTTGACTCCCTCTTCTTTGGGGCAGCCCCTGAGATACTGGAAGACTGCTATCATGTCCCCCCTCGTCCTTCTCTTCATTAAACTTCTACTTTACTTCAACATAATTGAAACAAATCCTCCAAAAAAAAAACACCCCAGACTGATAACTAAACAAAAATGAGAGGTTCTACTTGCTGATTCTCAATATAGGGACCGATGTATTTTTTTTCCTTTCAGTGAAATTGTTCAGAAGAAATGAAACATTTAATGAAACACCTCCGAGTCTTTGGGCTTCGATTGGGTCTCTCCTCGCCACACAACACTGTCAAACCATTGTAGCTTACTAGACTATAAAATATTTCTATTCTGTGCTGCCATCGCTCTTAATGCAATAAGGTATAAATTATTCCGGTTCACATCTATCCCCGTGATTAAATGCTCTTCTGCAGGAAATTATTGCTGACATAAACTATTTCTGTTTAAGAAAAGAGCTGCAAATGTAACTTAGCCTATCCATAATTGCATGAAACTTCAAGCGGCCACCACAGTTATGGGTTGATGCGTGCATGTGTTTGCATATCATTGTGCTCCAACCCAGTGCCCTCCAGATGTGATGGTGGATTTTATGATTCTAGCACATCTGGAAGGCACGGATTGGCAGAGTGAGCTCCCACCCGCCCTCTCACCAGGCTAAATTTGTAAAAGGTTGTGAGGCCAACAAAATGACCAGGTATATGTTTACCGAGATTCTCCGTCAT